GCTCGAGCAAGGGGAACAGTAACTAAGCCCAGGAAAATATCTAGGCCAGGGCAGACTCTTTCCACCGTCCAAAAAGAAGGGGAAAAATGGAAAAAAATGATATCTGACAACCCACAAATGTTTAAGTGTGCGGTTCTCCTGTTCAGCATGAAAGCACTCTTGTTGCTGCTAAGTTATTATTACCCTCACATTTTTTACATTTGTGCCCAGTACCATTTAGCCTGAGGGTATTTAGGCTTATTGCTTTAAAAATACAGAGTTAAGCATGTTTAAATCACTCTAAATATCGCAAGCAGCAGCAAACACACAGCCTACCTGCTTGGGCACGCAAACTTGAAAAGAAAAGCTTTACACCATGGCCCGCAGGTCAGCCAGTCCTGGCCCAGGCAGACGGACGTCAGGAAGGAGCTACAGAAAACAAGGCCCTCTGTGTGAGAGCCTCTCTGCCCGGCTTCCCTCGGGTCAGCGCTGAGCTGTGAGCAAACATGCCCTGAAAGCTGCACTCTCATAAAGTGCTGAAAACTCCCAACAGATATAGCCCCTCAAAACTGTGTACAAATGAGACGCATTTAATGAACGACCCTTTCTTTGCCAATAATTCTGCTTAAATTAAGTCCAGCAGCCTCTTCAAAGGGACCAAAGAAGCCCGCTTGTTAAGAAGGATTCTATATATAGACATCCAAGACAATTCTATGATGCATGTAACCAAATATATATAATTATCCTAGCTTCTACATTCCCATTATCTTCATAAATATAGGATAAAAATCAGCCTAAAGGACTTTCTCAGACCTCCGCAAGGATTAAGACTAGCCAGCCAGCTTTTTAAAAGGATACGTATGTAGTAAAGATCAAAAGCAAATGTTCTGGACAGTTCTTTTCTACTCATGGGTTTTTACTAAGAATGTGTGCAGTTTTCAGGGAAAACACCACAAATGACAGCTGTTCAAAAGCATGGAAATTAATTGGCAACAGGAATTTCCTTGACTAATAGGGAAAAACTTAAAGTCACATGTTTTGATGAGCTTATTTTTCCCATCTTTAGTCAAGCATATCCGCTGTTAATGATTAAGATTTTCAAACAGAAATATAACCAAGTAAAATCCTGAGTAGATAACCAAGTAAAACGCTGAGTGAAATCCAGCTCCTATTACTGAATGAACAATGGCATTAATGAATGAATTTTAGGTGTAAATAATACAATTTAGGGAAAGGTTCAACTTGCGGGTTTTGATTTTCTATAGGAACTAAACTATGACATCAATAAGAACAATGTAGCCGAAACCGGTTTGGCTCAGTGGATAGAGCGTCGGCCTGCAGACTGAAAGGTCCCAGGTTTGATTCCGGTCAAGGGCATGTACCTGGGTTGCGGGGAAATCCCCAGTAGGAGATGTGCAGGAGGCAGCTGATCGATGTCTCTCTCTCATCGATGTTTCTAACTATCTCTCTCCCTTCCTCTCTGTAAAAAATCAATAAGATATATATATTTTTAAAAAAGAACAATGTAGTTATTGTATTGAGCAATAGTAGTAAGACAAGTACCTCCCACCCCGACCCCATCCCCAGGAAGCCGCCTGCTTTGAGCTGTTTTTCTAGCAGTGGTGATGGATTTACACTGATCCATCCACAGTCTCTCTGACACAGGGGCTCTTAAGGCATTGCCCTTATGACGACTTGAGAATGGATGAGACAGCTGGTCAGGATTAGGCGAGCAGCCTATGGCCCTGGAACCAGGTTGTGTCACCCTGCCCAGAATTATGACCTTGGGATCATTAGCATTATGCTCTCACCACCTAAGCTAACCAGCCACTGATCAGCCACGATCCAACATACAACACTCTGGGGGCACCATGTTTTTTAAGTCCCAGCGACAATGTCATTCTATTTTTAGGGCAGCTGAATGCAGCCCAAGACACCCAAAGGCTCATGCACGATAGTCTATGCACAGACTGTCCCTCAAGGCAGCAATGAGATGTCCAAGCACAAGCAATCATGGCCCTTCCATCCTAATCAAATGACAGCTCTGACTGAGCTCAGAAAAAGCAAGAAATAGTCACAGAATTCCCCCAGCATGTTCTCTCCAAGTGCCACAATGGAACAATGTACCTGGCCATCCCCAGGCTTGGAAAGTTGGCAGGAACGATGAGCACATCCAGCCTGGAGAATGGGTGTGTCCCCAGCACAGCATGCGCTGCTGAGAGGCAAGGAGAGAGCAGCTGTAGAAGGGTCTCCTGGCAGGCACCTGCAAGGCTCTCAGGGGCGAACACCCGATGAGGAATGATCTCCTGGGTTGTGGCAGATGGATTCTGGAAGCGGCAGGGGTATTCCATGTGGCCACAGACGCCAGCACACCTGGGGACAACACAAAATAAACAGATGTACTTTATGGTAAATAGATTCATGCTTCTTGCTGTGGAGGTGAGGAGCTTTCATAGGCATGGGCCACTTCTAGGAGAGAGCTGTTCAGACAGGTTCCCAAGCAAAAACGGTACTTGAGTTCTCTGCTTGCCTGATCTATGCAGCAGTGATAAAATACAGGTGGACATATTTCTGATTGTGCTGAACTGTTTGAGTAATTTCAATCTAAGCTAAGTGAAAGCAGTAAAATCTTGTTTTAGAATAAATGGGGGGAAAGCCCCAAGACTCTAAACAGTAAAACAACTCATAAAACAAAAAATAATGTCTGCCCTTAGAATTGTGCTTTCAAATATCACTATGGAAAAAATCCTCTCCAAATCAGGGACGATTCATAACTCTGAAAGGAAGGGACAGTGCAGCCAAAGTGAAGATGGCATTCTGGAATTTGCTAGAATAAAAGCTGTGGATTTGGGTAGAGAACAATGAAGCAAATGACAGTACAGCTTCCAACTTCAAAAGAGCACAGTAGTCTAGGCAGTTCTTTACAAAGGCCATCAAAAGGTGTGCTGTTAAGGAATACAGAGGCGCTCCCCCTGCCCCCCCCCATATATTTATTATTGACTAGAGGCCTGATGCACGAAATTCGTGCAAGGGGGCTCGGCCCTCACAGCCCTAGCCGTCCAGGCTAATTAGCATATTATGCTTTTATTATTATAGAAGATTGATTTTAGAGAGAGAAAAAAAAGGAAGGGAGGGAGAGAGGGAGGGAGGGAGGGAGAGAGGGACACTGATTTGTTGCCCTACTTATTTAAGTATTCACTGGTTGATTCTGGTATGTGCTCTGACAGGTGATCGAATCCAAAATCTTGGGCAATGCTCTAACCAATGAAATACTGGCCAGGGTCTACAGAAGCACTTTTGTACAAGATTTTCACCAATCCATTTTCAATACAAACGTAACTAAATCAGCCTTTTAAAGAAACAGATCAGAGCCCAGCCTGCACCATCTGGCGACTGTCCTTTATTCTACCAAAGGTGGAGCTAAAAAAGAATTCCTAGAGCCTGACTCATAGGCCTCAAGAGAACCTATCTACCCAAAGAACCCCACGTCAAAGGGAACTATTTTTTCACCTGTTAACAGGTCCTTTATTCAAACATAATGAAATAGTTCTCTACTTTTAATGTATAAATTATATTCCTAACTATGAGGCTTATTAGATAAACAGTGAATACTGAAAAAAACTTAAAATACCGGTACATTCCAATACGGGAGGACTGTAGCAATACTGCCTCTCCACATTTCTGAAGTGCCTTTCACCCGCCCACAGTCAGCACTGACTGCCCCAGGAGGTCCGCACAGCGATGAGAGAAGCCTCGCCCTCCACCATGTGGTACATAGAACACAGCTCCCAGCACCCATGGCGTTTGGCCACAGCTGAGGGAACAGTAATGGGGGAAGACTCATAAATACTTCTCCCAGGTTAAGGTGACAGGAAGAATATAATTGTTAAGCTTGCCAAAGTCCCTGGATTGATAACCTTGCTTTACGGAGAAAGTGAGAATAGGTGCCTGTTGGTAAACATTTAACCGAAGACTCAGTGTCCACCTAGGGTTATGATGGCGAACCTATGACAGGCGTGTCAGAGGTGACGCGCGAGCTCATTTTTTTGGTTGATTTTTCTTTGTTAAATGGCATTTAAATACATAAATATCAAAAATATAAATCTTTGTTTTACTATGGTTGCAAATATCAAAAAATGTCTATATGTGACACAGCACCAGAGTGAAGTTAGGGTTTTTCAAAATGCTGACACGCCGAGCTCAAAAGGTTCGCCATCACTGACCTAGGGCCTAGTACTGTGCTGGAGCATCCATTTAATGACAGCTCTCACAAAGCGAAAAATCATTTATTAAGTTAACCACCACAATACCTTCTCCTAATGTGTTTATATGGGTATGCAATGTGCTATGGTAATTGAAGCTCGCACTCTCCATTGAAAAGCTTGCAGAGCACATTAAATAATGGACAAGTTAGAGGTGAAGAGGCATCTTCAGGACAAAGTTGGAGCATGCGTTTAAATTCAATCTATCAAAGCGCAATTTTGCAAGGAGACATTCCATTGGCCTAGCTAGAAACACACCATGGGGCTAGACTATTTTTTTGCAGCCAAGAACTTGAACTCTAAAAGTTAGAGAACAGTTTGAGGGAGCCAAAGAAATACCACGAAAGCCAATTTGTTCAAGAGAAAAGGTGTTTTAAATTCTCTCTGGATAGAAATGGCACTACATAAGTAATAATGTTATTTCAGTTGGATGCATTAGCGCTGGTTTTCATAATCAAGCCTCAGAGAAATGCAGGACTCTAAGAAGACAATCAAGCTTTGGGCAAGTGAGACCAATAAGGCTCCCAATACAAATGGAAATGGCACCAGGGAGGCCACACATGGGTTCCGACGTGGGGATCGGGACACCTGGACTTCTGTGGCTGTTCAACAGGTTCCCTGTGACCCAAGGCAAGTGGCTGGGTCTGGGGCCACTTTTCCTCACCTCGGACATGGTCCTTATAGAACAGGCTGCTGAGAAGGGGAGGGCTGATTGGAAAGGGTGTGAGGGAACTTCCTGGGGTGAAGGAATGTTCTCTACCTGGGCTAGCATGTATTCAACTGTCAAAAACTGATCAAGCCGAACAGCTTAAGGTCTGTTCATTCTGTAGTTTGCTAATTATAGTTTAATTAAAGGCAAACACACAAAACACCTGAACACACGTGAGCCGTCTGCATGCGAGAGCCATGCTTCTGACGCGGTCGGGAAACTCTGTGCTTTGTGAGGTTGTGAGCCGTCTTCCACAGAGCCCGCATTAACTCACAGACACTCTACTTTCCTTCAGAGTGCCCTCCAGTCACACATCGCTGTGTACGTGCCTAACTCCTACCACCACTGCTACTTACGCTTTTTGAACATTTACTAGGTGCCAAGCACTGCTCTGAACACTTTACACAATTTTCCCAGATAATCCACAACATGCCTAAGGAATAAGAACTATTCATCACAGGTGAGTCTTCATAAGCTCCTCCCTCCTGACTCTCCTTCTCCATTAAACCTTATTTTGCTTCTTAAGTACATTTGGGTCCTGGAGTTTTTCCAAAGCTGAGCTCAGCGGCCCTGTGACTCTCCAATGTCTGTTTCTCCTTGTCGGTGTCGCCTATTAATTCTGCCCAGAGTGGGAAGAAGGGTGGAGCCATGTCAGGCTGGTAAATGATGGGCACCAGGCATTGGTTCCCTCTTGCACGACGCTGGACTGAGACGATTTTACAAGCGCTCTCTCCAGGGGTAGGGGTGGCCATGTCTGACTCAGAGCCACAGGACGGCAAGTTGCCTCAAGAGGTTCTCCTCCTGTTTCAGGCAGCGCTGTGCTGAGACCCGGCACAAACGGTCCTCTGTCCTGGGTTCAAAAGAAATTACTGGAAAGCCTCCCTGGGGAATGCACAGCCTTTTCCCACAAGCCTTCCTGGGTTCACCGTGAGGACTCAGTCAGTATCGCCTGCATTCCCGCTCTTCTCAAGGCACTCCGCCCGGAGCTGCCCTGCGCAGACCTACGCAGAAGACGCCGGCCTGACCTTTGAGGAGTTTACAGTTTTGTTAGGAGAAAAAATGTTAGATCCTGATTAGTTTAGTGACACAGTCCAACGTTTACGCAATTTATGAACATGTTTCAGCTAGCAGAGAAAGTGCCTCCTAAAAATCACAAGTGCTCAAACCACCACCACCTGCCCCCGAGCGGGTGGCTGACAGTGATGGCAACACACAAGATGATGTCATAGCGTCTGAAAGCTGGAGTGTTTTCTGCGAACATTCAGTACATTAAAAAGCAAAATGTGGTATGTGCAATGCGGGGCAGAAAGCAGAAACACTCTAGGGGAGCAAGGGTTGGACAAATAACCAGTCGAGAAGGCTTGGAAAGGTGGTCCGGGAACTGGAGTTCCCCTGTGATTTATCTCTACATCCCTTCTATTCAAAGAGATAGAAACAGGCCTCGTCCTCTAAGGTCCCACTCTTCATTGACTATACACCCTCTGCCAAGTGTCCCCTTCTGTAGAGTTAGCGCCTCAGCGCCTCTCCCAGGCTTTTCCAAGCTCTGTGTGCCTGTTATCCACGCTTTTAACCATTTTCGCTGATCTCCTCTGGCCTTTATCCAAGGGTCCTGCTTAACCTGTAGAGCCCCAAAGTGAAGACAATGCTTTAACCAAGGCCTCAAGAGGTTAAACATAATACAAAGATTTCCTGGTGGCTGGAGAAGGTTATACTGCAGCCAAACAAAATTAATAAACTTTCCACAGTTTGGCTGAGTGCCTTATAATTAATGAATTTACCAAAATGCTCACCCAGAATGAGCGGGAGCACATGTGGAACTGGAGCTGGAAGAGGACTGCTCTTCCTATCATTTGGCGCACATGGACAGGGGTCAGAGGTTCAGTGACCAGCCCTGGCCGATGTTGCTCAATGGGTAGAGCGTTGGCCCATGCACAGAAAGGTTGTGGTTCGATTCCTGGCCAAAGGAAGGGAAGATTTAATCCCTGGCCCTAGTTGGGCAAATGTAGGAGACAACCAGTCCATCTCTCCCCCGCCCCCGCCCCCCCCCCTCTC